GGGGGGGGCGGGCAACCCCAGGGGAATTTGACATTTTCAGATTTCCCAAGGTCAATTTTCCGACCCTTGGGTCGTTTCTTAGTGTCAAATTTCCGGCCCCGGGGACCACAAACCTGGTAAAGAAATTATGACAGCATTGCATTTAGTATACTTAACTTTTAGTATACTTCACTTTTATTTTATAAACATTTGTGCTAGGACTACATTGTGTTTTCAGAAATGCAAAACTGGCAATGCCAAGAAATATCATGGATGGCATCTGGTTCTCCAATGCAAAACATGTGATACCACTTTTGGCACCCATCACATAGTATCCATGATATGCCTCCTCCCCCTCCATCTGCAGGCTCTTCCTCCTTGCAATAACCACAGAGTACCTTAAGAATAGGATTACAATAAGAAGGGATAAATATGCAGTTTTGAACTGCAATATCTGTTGGCACCATGTAATGCCCTGAACATACTTGGTCTTTACAGTCAGAACAGTTTTGATTTCCAAATGGCCTGAATGACAAATTAAAAACAAAACTTCCAATAAGACAGTHAGTAAATATAGAACATACATGTATATACTGTTTTCTGTTTATTTACCTATTTGTATCTACCACAGGAAGCGGAGTGAAGTTTAGTGGAGGTCCTCCTTCATACCAGGTCTCTTGCACAGCTGGCTTTCCAGTTTTGCACAATGGATGAATGCAATCACTATGGTAGCAGAGAAATAGATGGAATACATACTTGGAAGGCAGTCCAGTCACCAAATGACGATTTCGTAATGACCATACATCATCGATCCACTTGTATTTTTCTGGACTTTGACGTTTTAACTGTCTTTTATCCTCTGCAGTACCTTTCAAATAGGTTTTAATCATTGCTCTATCTTCCTGATACGATGAGCTGTCACTTCCTTTGTACAGGTGAATCTTGGTATTGGCACATGGCGTTTTATCAACTCTGCTGATGTAAATGTGAATGGCATCACTGAGATTCTCTTTAAGCTTAATGCCATTGATCATTCCGGTATTTGAGTCAAGGCATGAACCATTAAGTGTAGACGGAATAAATAAATTACTATGTCCAAGAGCAAGGCAACCATTCTGCAGTTCAACACGGTTCCTGTTGCTTGAGCCACTATCTCTGGTAGATACAATTAACACTTTGGATGATTTTTCAAGATGATAGTTAGTCCACCAAAATTGGACTTCTGTATGTGATGGCCCTTCATCATTACCTCCATCCACTCGGACACATACTTTACTCTTCCTCTTTCCTGTGATATGGTTGACAAATGCTGGCTCYACCTCTGGATTTTTCTCAATCACATTCAAATCGTATGCATGTTGTGCAGGATTTTTCTGATGAAGTGGCRTGGCCTTAACAATTCCAGCACATAATTCTAAAGTTGTGTCWGTACCAGAAAAGTTATATGATGTTGTCTGAAGTGTTGAGGAATATTTGTTAACATAATCTGTTTTAGTTGTAAGTGGAACGTTGTCTTTCAAGCATAATGTTGCATGCCTGTTATGGGTGGCTAGGGTATCCAGACGAAACCCAGCTTGGTCATCTCGGTTTATATTGAGGATGTCAGTTCCATCCTTCAGCTGCAATGCATCA